ATTGAAGCCAGGGAAGGTAGGCATCAAAGACGAAGAGGGAAAACATTATAGGCCTGTGCAAATGCACCAGAGGGAAGTGAAGTGTCTTGTGTGAGGAATATAGTAAATAGGCCAGGGTACATGGATTAGTGTGAACAGAGGGAAGGTGCTTAAAGGAGAGGTATCTGACAGGCAGCCTGGTAGACCAAATGTAGTCCACAACATTCCTGGCCCAAACCAGATTAAGATGTAATTAGGAAATATTTTTTAAAAATATATAATAAAATATAAGATTATAAGACATTTTTAAAACTAAGTCAGTATGTGGCCTACAGGGATCCTTACATAAGGATTATTGGCCTTTGGTTTCTATTTGAGTGTGTTAGCACTAGCCTAGAATACCAAGATGTTATAAGATTTATCCAGGACCACACAACTAGAATCTGTCAGAAACAGAACATGAACTCAGGTCTTCCAGGTTACAACTCCAGCATTTTCTTCATTAAACCAAGCTGCCTTTAACTATATAAATGGTAACTGTTATTATTGAAACTTCAAATCAAGTTTCACTGTGTGGGACATGGAGCAATGAGAACTGGTATTATTATTTTTAGAGAAAAATAATATTAGGAAGATTCAATCAATGAGGGGGAAAGTCAGAGCAACACATCAGTAGCATATCCCGGTGACTGGATTGGCAATGCCTGCAAAAGGAGGGCGGAACAGACCAGAAACTAGAGAAACAAAGGTGCCAATGTTCTGCAACCAAGTTCTTCTTGGGATGAGTTTAAAGATAGTAATAATGATAGCTAGCTTTATATATATAACCCTTTAGGGTTTGCAAAACACTACAAATATTGTATCATTTTATCTTAACAAAAACCCTGGGAGGTAGATGCTACTATTATCCCCATTTTGCAGAAAAGGAAATCAAAGCAGATAGCCCAGCATCACACAGCTAGTAGGTGTCTAAGGTTGGATTCGAATTCAGGTCTTTCTGAATCCAGGTCTAACTTTCCATCTACTGTGCCACTCTGCTTCCTACAAAATGGCACATACATACTATTGCCAAGGCATACATATTCCAAAATTTTCATGAATACCAGGTTCTCAGTGGCAAAGATATTCTTTGCAATAGTGCAGATGGCACCGTCTATGCTTATCCTATGCTATTCATGGTGGCACAGTAGATAGAGCAATGGACCTGGGGGTTAGGAAGATCTGAGTTTGGATTCAACCTCAGACATTTACTAGGTGTGTGACCCTGGGCAAGTCATTGTATCTATTTGTCTCTGTTTCCTCATCTGTAAAAAAAGGAATAATAATAGCACCTACCTCCCAGAGTCATTGCAAGGATGAAATGAGATTTTAGATAGATAGATAAATAGGTAGATATAGATATACACATATATGTGCATATATACATACACACATATATATAGCACTTAGCACAGTGCCTGCAGGCACTATTTAAATGATAGCTATTATTCTGTGTCTTTCAATAAGTCTTCTTTTCCATTTAATAGTATTTTATTTTGTTCAAATTACATGCAAAGATAGTTTTCAACATTGACTTTTACAAGATTTTGAGTTCCAAATTTTTTTCTCCCCACTCCCCAACACAGCTGCAATCTGTATAGGCTATACGTGTACAATCATATTAAACATGCTTCCACATTAGTCATGTTGGGAAAGAAGAATCAGAACAAAAGGGAAAAAGCAATGAGATAGAAAAAAAAGAGAGAAAATAATATGCTTCAATCTGCATTCATACTACATAGTTCTTTCTCTGGCCGTGGACAGCATTTTCCATGATGAATCCCTTGGAATTGTTTCAGATCATTGCATTGCTGAGAAGAGCTAAGTCTATCAGAGTTGGTCATAGCAAAATGTTGTTACAGTGTGCAATGTTCTGGTTTTGCTCACTTCACTCAGCATTGGTTCTGCTCATTATTTCTTATGGAACAATAGTATTCCATTACATTTATATACTACAACTTGTTCAGCCATTCCCCAGTTGATGGGCATTCCCTCAATTTCCAATTCTTGGCCACCACAAAAGGAACTACTATAAATATTTTTGTACATGTGGGCCGTTTTCCCTTTTTATGATCTCTTTGGGGTACAGACCTAGTAGTGGTATTGCTGGATCAAAGGGTAAGCACAGTTTTATAGCCCTTTGGGCATAGTTCCAAATTACTCTTCAGAATGGTTGGATCAGTTCACGTTTTCCTTTTCCATCATGTTAGCCCAATAAATCTTTTATAGAGGATCTACCCAATGCATTGGATGCTGTTTTCTTCTTTTACTATTCCATGGATAGCATTGTGGTAGTTATGTGTGATCTCTCATTGACTGAATGAGATCCACTTCTTTTCTGGTTATCCAGAGAAGTAGATGGAGTTATTTGGAGATGGCAGCAAGGTGATATAGGGTGAATAGAGTTCATCAGATAATTGGATTTTGTCTTGTATCCTTACACCTTGTGTTTTTGCACATTATCTCCCTATATTGTCTACCTCTTTCTACTAAAATGATTTAGCCTCATTTTCCTGGGGAAGTAGATTTATGGAGAAATGACAAGGTGAAAATGGGAGATCTAACTGTGCATAGTTATATTTCTGTATCTTTTCTCAGAAACAGGTCATTTAGCACAGCAATTAGCCCCAGGAGTTACCCAGAATAGCTACCAAAAAAAAGAATTTTTGTACAATATCTTTACACTGAAAAAGACAGAACAAAAACAGCTGATGGGGAGTTGCTAACCATGGTAATTAAGGAAAGAGAGCAAGAGAGTAACTAGTTGCCCAGATAAATTTCAGTCACCCAGCTCAGATGGACTACATCCAGGAATATGCTTGTAAATGTTTTAACAAGCAGTTCTCATTACATCTTTTTAAGTTTAATCTGTGTTGTTATTTTCTTTCTTTCTTTTTTTTTTTTCCTTATTTTCTTTATCTGTCATTTACTTAAGTCTAGACCAGGGATTGGCAATAGCCAGATCCAGTTGCTGCCAGTTTTTTACATGACCAAAGAACTAAAAATGGTTTTTACATTTTTAAATAAACTATTTTTAGAGAAAAAGAATATTAGGAAACTTCAAGTGATAATGGGAAAGTTAAAGCAACACATCAATGATATATCCCCCGGCTGGCTTGGCAATGGCTGGGAAAGGAGGGAAGAACAGAGCAGGGTAAAAGGAAGGTAATACTATCTTTTTAAACCACAGTATTTTTAAAACTCAGGTTATCAAAACAAATCAAAGATTTCCATCTTGTCTAATAGGTTTTATCCCAGCTGTTCTAAATCTGTTGGTAAGGGGATAATTACATTGTAATTTCATTAATCAGTCAACAAGCATTAAGTGCTTATCAAGCACTGTGCTAGATAAAAAGATAAAAATGAAACACTGCCTGCCCTCAGGGGAGTATTTTATATCTGACTGAAGAGCCAATACTCCTTATACCATGCTTCACAGTGGTTTGATATGATATAGTTTGTTTAGCTCTTCCTAAAACAATCAAACCTTTGTATTGTTTCTAATTTTTCCTTGAGATAGTGAGACAGGGAATAAGCATTTATATAGTAACTACAATATGCTAAACACTGTGTTACATGATTTATAAATATGTCATTTGATTCTCACAACACTGCAAGATAGGTAAATATTATCCCTATTTTACAGATGTGGAAACTGAAGCACACAGAGGTTAAGTGACTTGCCTAGGGTCACACAACTAAGTGTCTGAAGACAGATATGAACTCAGGTCTTTCTGACTCCAGACTCAGCAAACTATGGTTCCACTGTTGGAGCTGCCTCTGTTGGAGATAACCAATAATACTATATACATATTCCCTACAGACACTCTTTTTTTCCTTTTGAAAGGAAAGCGCACTTTATTTTTTTGGGTTTTTTTGCTAGCCAATGGGGTTAAGTGACTTGCCCAGGGTCACATGACTATTAAGTGTCAAGTGTCTGAGATCACATTTGAACTCAGGTCCCTCTGACTCCAGGGCCGATGCTCTATCCACTGCCACCCAGCTGCCCCCAAAAGTACACTTTAGAGTACATATAATTTAATGAAAAGTGCACTGAGCTGACACAGACAGGTTTGAAACCAGCTTTCACTCTTACTAGCTAACTTAGACACTAGAAAAAGTCATTTAGCTCCTCTGTGTCTTAGTTTCATCCTCTGTAAAAGGAGGAAGGATAATCATGCTTGCAGAACCTTCCTTTTGAACAGATTGTTAGAGATTTCTCATTCATTCATTCTCAATCAATCCACTGTACTAGATGCTGAGATTTAAAGACAGTAAGTGAAAATCTCTATTCACGAGGAACTAAAGGGAGAGGCAAAATAGGTTGAGTCAAGATTGAGAATGGCTTTAAAGCTAACTCCAGCAGTTTGAATTTTATAGAGTTTACTGAGGACAGGAGGGACACAGTCTGATACATCCTTAAAGGAAAATCCTTTTGTCAGCAATGGGGATGATGAGACCAGGAGGCCGGTAGGGAGCTGTCCTAATAATCTAACCTAGAGGTGAGAAACTAAAGCGTTAGTTGTGTGGAGTTTATCTGATGATCTGGGGTCCGTGAACTTTAAAAAAGGGGTAGGGGTTGGATAAATGAATTTCAGTGTAATTGATTTATTTTGTAATATTGTGTAGTTTATTTTAGGCATTCAAAAACATTATTCTGACGGGGACTAAAGCAGACTGCAAAAGGGTTCCATGACAATCACAAAAAGGCTCACAACTCATCTAGCCTAACTCATTTTTGCCGGAAAAAAAGAAAAAATGATGGCAGCTGCTGCTAAGAGTAGGAGCCGGCACCCACAACTGGGAACTGACACTGAAAAGAAAGTCTTCTGATTCCAAGCCCAGGGTTTTGGGTTCCCCCCCCCCCCCGGACTTCAGAGACGTTTGTGCCCGGAGGATTCTGGGAATCGTAGTTCCGGGCGAATCGGCTCGGGTCATTACCGTGGGTAGGGCGCGGATGCGCACGCAGCGCTGTTGTTCTGCTCGTAATTGTCGGTTCTGCCTGCGGCTGTTTGGTGTATGGTCGGTAACACTTTGAACTCTGATGGACACAAGCCCCAAGGTTTTTGGTGACCCAGATCCCCCTCCTCAACCCCTGATCTGCTGACGCCTTGCGGGTCCCTGGTCGGAGTGGTCGGCTTCTGTCGGCAGAAGAGCTTCTCCCGCAGGGGCCGAGTGTGGGCCTCGGGCCAGGGGGACCCCGGCGGCGTTGGACGAAAACTTCGTCTTGGGAAGAGTTTTGCCCCCACCTGCCTCCTGTACCGTCGTCTCGCCCTGGGTCTTCCTTTCGCGCCCCTGGGGCTCACCCGCAGACCCAGCTGGGCGGGCGGGAGCTGCTCCCTGCCTTGGAGAAGGGGCTGGGTGGAGAGACCGCGACGGTCCTCGACTAAGAGACACAGTCTCTGTCCTAGCGGAGTTTGCATCACAAGCAAAATGCATGCATTTTTCAGCTATGAGCAGCCTGGAGTGGTGGGAGAAGGAATCTCTTTGTGTGTTTGTCTGCATGTGTGTATTTCTATTAAAAAACAGCATAGTCTAGGATAAAGGGCACTGAGCCAGGAGAGATCTGAGTTCAAGTCCTGGGTTTCTGAGCCTGGTTGTGATAATTACTTGTACAGCTTCGGGTAAATCAGTTAACCCAACTCAGATCTCAGTTTCTTCATCTGCACAATGCGGATCATAAGACTTTTCCTAATTAGCCCACAGGTAGTTGTAAGGAAATGTGAATTTAAAATTGCTAAATTTAAGTATGTGTACATGTATATATGTGTGTGTTACTGTGAACAGTTGTGTATATCTGAAATGATGCTGTGACATTAACACCTTGCATAACAACAATATGCCGCTGTTGTCCACTACTCACTTTCTGGGCTATTTGTATGTCTACAATCTCTTAACAATCTCAGGATGCTGAAGTCAGATGGTGTGTGACTAAGAAATCTTGGTTCTTTCAGTTAACCATGATACATATATATGTGTGTATCTTTGTCCACAGCACCCCTCGAGAATGTATGCAGGTATCCAGTCTGAGGCTGAAGGGAACTGGCTCTCTTCTGGGAATTCGGATTTGAAGTCCATGGTGACAGTCCCAGGTGGAGAGATGCTGGCCCTGAATAACATGATGACCATCTCTTTGAACCCCCAAATCCTGGCAATGCATGAACAAGATAGGGATGAGTCAAGGGAACAGGTAACCACCCTAGGAAGAGAAAAATTTAACCTTGAGGCTTCTCGCCAGAGCTTCAGATGTTTTCCATACCCAGAGAAAGCTGGACCCCGGGAGGCTGTGAACCAGCTCTGGGAACTCTGCCTTCAGTGGCTGAGGCCAGAGATTCACACAAAGGAGCAGATCCTGGAGCTGCTGGTGCTGGAGCAATTCCTGACCATCTTACCCAGTGAGATCAGGATTTGGGTGAAGGCACAGCATCCAGAGAACATTGAGGAGGTGGTCACGTTGGTGGAGGATTTGACCCAAATGCTTGAGGAAGAAGGTGAGAGCTGCAGAAGGACAGAGGGAGAGAGCAAACTCTCTTCAGGGTGTGAAGGGAGGTCTCTAGAAGACACATATTACCTAGCATCTAGGGACTGGGAGTAAGAACCTTTTTAATCTCAAATTGATCCTCTTATCTTACGTTATCCAGCTGTGTCTGTTCTTTGTCTGTCCCTCCTCCCCTTCTCTCATCCTTCCCCTGCCTTCTTGCTACCTATTTGTGTAGCATCTGACTGTAAAATGGCAGAACATTCTTTATGGGCTATTTTTGTGGGAGTGGAAAGACAGAGAAAACAGTTAAATATTCATCTCTTTTGTAAATTTTTTTTTTTTAATTTTTAGGCAATCCCTGGGTTAGTGACTTGCCCAGGGTCACACAGCTAATAAGTGTCAAGTGTTTGGTCCGAGTTCGGATTTGAACTCAGGTCCTCCTGACTCCAGGGCCGGTGCTCTATTCACTGTGCCGCCTAGCTGCCCCTCTAAATTCTTACAGGGGTTCCCTCTAGAGTTTTACTTTTGAGTATCAATGAATCAGTAAGTAATTATGAATATTCTTCCTGTGTTCCTGGCCCAGTGGTAGGGCCTGGGAATACAGATACAAAAATGAGGCAATCCATATCCTCAAAGAATACACATTCTGCTTGGGGGAATCAACATGTTCACAGATAAGTAGATATAGGATAGCTACAAAAGAAATACAGAGTGATTTCAAGGCTGAGGAAGGATAATAATAACTACTAGAACAAAGGCTACTTGAAGGAAGTGGTGTTTGAGCTGAGCCTTGAAAGAAGATAGGATGGCTGTAGGAATTCCAAGAGGTAGAGGTGAGGATAGAGAATGTTTCAGGCACAGGGATAAAGAAACTGCCTGTACAAATGCACCGTGGTGGGAACTGGAATATCTTACATGGGGGAAACAGCCAGTAGCCCAGGTTGGCAGGAATGTAGAGTGTAGGAGGGGGAGTAATATGTAATCAGTCTGGAAGGTAGGCTGCAGCCAGATAGTGAAGGAAGGGCTTTACATGTTAAACAGAAGTTGATATGCTGAAGAATTACTGAAGTGTCTTGTTCAGGGGAGTGACATGGTTAGATCTGCCTTTTAGGAATATCAGTTTGGCAGTTTTATGGAGGTTAGATTGGAGAAGGAGAGTGGATGCAGGGGGGCCAATTAACAGGCTCTTGCAGTAATCCATAGAAGTGATATGGTCCTGAATTAGAGTTGTTGTGGAGAGAAGGGACAGATTTGAGAGGTGTTGAGAAGGCTGAGTCAACAAAACTTTTAAACTGACTGGATGGTAGGTGAGTGAGATTGATGTGTCAGAGATGACGCAGAATATGCCAACCTAGGTGATTTGAAGAATTGTGTTATCTCGCTAGATGTAGAAAATGTAGTAGATGTAGTAGATGTTAGTAGGAACAATTAGTTTGGGGGAAAGAAAAGTTAAGTTTTGAATATGTGGATTAGTTTTGAGGACCCTAAAGGCCATTCAAGGAGAGAAATCTTGGTGGCAGATGGAAATGTGAGACTGGAACTCAGCAGATAGGTGAGGGTTAGATATATATACATGGGAGTCATCTGCATGAAGATGGCAGTTGAATTCATGGGAGCTGATGAGATCACTGAGAGAATGGAAGAGGAGAGTGCCTGGATAGAGCCCTGTGATACACATACCTGCCTTAGATAGACATGGAGGATGATACTGCAAAAGAAATTGAGAAGAAATTGGTTAGATAGGTAAAATGAGAACTATAAAAGAGCAGTATTCCTAAAGGGAGCAGTGAACAGTGCTAATGCTGTGGTGAGGTCAAGGAGGCAGAGACCTGTGAAAAGGGCATTGAATTTAGCAATAAAAAGTTCATTAATGACTTTGGAGAGAATGGTTTCAATCAAGTAGTGAAGATGGAATACAGATTATAAGGCATTAAGAAGTAAGTGGAATGAGTGGGGGCAATGAATTTATACAGCTTTTTCTAGGAGTACAGCTTTGAAGGGGAGGTGAGATATAGGACAATAATTGGAGAGGGTGAAGTGAGAATTTTATAAGAGTAGGGGAGATTTGGACATGGTTATAGGAAGCAAGAAAAGATCCACTGGGTGAGGAGAGGTTGAAAATTAGAGTGTATTATCAAGGGGACAAATTCAAGAAGATAGATTCAAGAATACTAATAGAGGGGTTGTTGGCAAGGCAAACAGTCTTATCCTTTGAGACTAGAATAAAGGAAGAGAGAAAGGGAGATGTATGCTTTGAGATGATTTGAAGTGTGAAGTTGGGGGAGGAAAGGAGCTAGTGATAGTTAGCCTTAATCTTGTAGTTATAAGGCAAGATCCTCTGCTGAGAAGGAAGAGCACGGTTGGTGTGGGTGTATTGAAGAGTGGAGAGAATGTTTAGAATATCCTCTAGAGATTGGGATAGTAAAATGGGGAAGAGTTAAAGGATTGTTTTGCAACTAGGAAGGTCCAGTTGAGATTGTATAACATATTTTTATTGGACCTAATCAGGATGGTTGTTTGGCTTTTTCCAGTGACATACAAAAGCACCACAATAGGAGCTGAGAAAGTGGATAGAGCAGATAATCCAAAGCAGGAGTTTGGAAAAGACTCAATAGCAATAGGACATTGGGGCATGAGATTTAAGTTTCAAAGACAGTGAACTGGTTAACTAACTGGTTAACTGGCCAAGATTTTGAGGGGAAGAATATGGGGCCAGATTAGGGATAATGGCCTATAAAATCAGGGAGAAATAGAGTAACAGGAAGTTGTAGTCAAGGGAGAGAATAGGTTTAGGAAGCTAGAGAATAACACAGGCAGAGATGGAAAAACAGAAAGTTGTGATCCAAAAGAAGAATTTCAGAGTTATGGACTGGACAGGTTTCTACCTGTCTACAAATATTCTTATTTGTGGATAATGATGAAATCAAGGGTAGGACTATACCTATGTGTGGCTGAGGTGGAGTGACAGTATAAATTATGGGAGTTGTTGAGGTGGATGAATTTGAGAGAAAGGGCATCTGGGGACATCAACAAATCTAAATTGAAGTCATCAGCATAAAGAATGGAGATAGGAGGAACTCCTTCTGCCAGGTACTGAACTCTTTGAGAGAGAAAAAAAGAATTGGGGTGGGGCAGCTAGGTAGCCCAATGGATAGAGCCCTGGCCCTGGAGTCAGGAAGACCTGAGTTCAAATCCAGCTTCAGACACTTACTAGCTAGTTATGTGACCCGGGCAAGTCCCTTAACCCCCATTGCCTCCAAAATAATAATTAAAAAAAAAAAGAATGGGGGCCAATAAATAGTAGCTAACAAGATGGTTTGGGCTATCTAGACAGAGTAAATCTCAAAGGAAGAGATGTTACTGAGTGAGGATAGTAGGGAGAGTGCCTGGAAGTAGTAATGAGGAGCAAGAAGCAAGACCTCCTCAACCAGTACGTTAGTATGCAGGATGTTGAGGGAAGTGGGGTGAGGGGAGGAGAAAAGGTACATCCAGTACTAATGTGAATGACCAGAGATGCAAAATCTTCTGAGGAAGTCTAGATTTCTGTCATAGCTAGGTAGATGGAACATGACATGAAGAAGTTTAATATGAGGGACAATTCGTTAAAAGCAAAATTAGGCTTTTGGAGGGCACAGTGGAAAGGTTAGGTAGAGTGGTATAGGTACCTGGATAGAATATGACTTACATGGTTGTTTATGAGGGAGAGTAATGGCTAGGGCTCAGCATTAAACATTAAAGCATTCTGCTTTTTATCATTTACAAGCCCTGTGAGGTGAATAAGACATATAATTAGCCCACTTTTACACATAAGGAAGGGTTGCTCAGGGACACACAACAGAAAATATTATGATTTCTCAGGAAGTAATTTTCTAAAAGAAAGTCAGCAAATTGATTTATTCTGTATTCTTAGAGATAGTTCCTCATACATAGGGAAAAAGCTATGGCAGAAATATTGACTTTTACACTCCAGGTGGCACGTTAGATTAGGCATAGAATGATTAAACCAGGCTGTATTTCTGATGTTTGAATCTAGATTTTCTCCTTGGAAATGTGCTGTCACTATAGGGATATAAAATTAGGGCTCCAGGTGGCATTGCCATTTTTTCTGAATTTGTAAGAGCCTGGACACTGATCTTATTGTCATTCTTTCTTCTCCTTAGTTCCGAGTTCACAAGATTCCCCTCTTCTCCAAGAGGGGAGCACAGACAAGGAGGAAATATCGGCTGTGTTACCAATAGCCAGCTTTCAGGTGAGTTAAAATGTCCTTCTTTCATTTTCCTGTAGTGCCAACTTGAGTCTCAGTACAGACACTTTTCTGTTCTATTTTACTTGGGCTTTTCTTCCTAACAAAAGCTTGTTTAGAGATATGAACTCTTGTTGTTTTTCCCCCAGACACTGGACCTATTCTGAGGGATGGTGGATTCCCTAGGGAATACTCCCTATTTCGTTTGCCCAGCTGTCATTCATTTCAGTCTATTAGATGCTCACATAGTAGCTTGGCCTAGGAGTCCAAGACCCAGATTCAGGTTCTGCCTTTGATGCAAAATGGCTCTGTGATAATGGGGCAAGTCATTTAACCTCTCAGTGCTCTAGGAAATTCTCTAAGACTAAAAGTTGCAATTAAGGTGCAGATCTGCATTATTATAGGTAGTTCCTAACTGGGAACTCCTTACACTGATAAAGCCATAGGTACATTTTAAAAATATGCTGACTGCAATGGCAGTCATTCTGAAGGAAACAAAAGAAATGTAAAGTAGAGTCTTTGGAACCAAGGACATTATAGTCTTGTCTGAATGCCAAATGTAACATGAAAAAAAAATAAAAAGAAATGCAAAGCATTAAGTGTCATAATTCATGATATAGAATGCAAGATCTGTCTACCTTTGTATCTGTCTGCTGTCAGAGATGGAAGAGATTAGTGTGGGTTAGAATATAGGATATGAGTACTGAAAAAAATGGGTACTTTTTTATTAGAGAGGATGAGAAAATAGATTTTAAGTGAAAAGAATAGAAAGATCACATGTCCAGAAGAGATAAGGAACATGCTCTTTGCACTAACCACTGTGAATATAATGTCCTGGCTACAGTAGAAGATTCATGTTAAGTAGTGCTAAGTTTGAAGAGAATATGAATGCTGACCATTTGAATGGAGCAGGGGAGAATGATTCAAGTATTTTGAGAAGGCAAATGAAAGAGTGAAAGGATAAGGTGAGGTCCAGCTCTAGGATTTTAATCTTTTAGACTAGAAAAACGGTATTATGTGTAGTAATCATGGCCATGTCAGGCTAACTGTGTAGCTATGTCGAACTGTTAGAAGTAGATTGGCCCACTTACCCCGTTCTGGGCCCTAACCCTCCCACAGCTGAGTTCGGTTCTCCTGGAGGCCTCAGCTCAGCACTGATGCCTTCAATCTTCCATTCACTTCTCAGCTCCTGGCTTAGTGCATCATGATAAAACGATTTTTCCTCCATTCCTCAAATGGTCACTCTCTACAAAATACATATGCAAAGTGTCCCAAAAACCTTAGTTCTGTTTTAAGTTTTAGAAGTTTACCATTTATTAAACTCTTAAAGCTTAAAACTGCCCCAAAATATTTGGGATACTGTTTATAACTAGCCTGTTGGAAAGATGTGATACAGTTATTAAATTATGAAAATAGGGAACTGGTAAGAGAATCCACTGGTTCTGCTGTGGTACTATTATCCAAGTGCAAGTGCTATAATAAAAAAATTGTCTGGTCTTACTCTAAGCAGTATTCTTGGAAATGTACTTAATTGACCTGATGGTATTCAAACTATGATTTTTGAAGAAAAAAGAGGTACCCAGTAACTTACCAATAATTATAATTTCCAAGAAATTTTTAAACCTGCTTTGTGGGTTTAAGCAGTGACTCAAACAAAGAGCTGATACTCTGTAATCTCTTTCCCCCTTTTATCCGTTTGAAATGTCTAGCGCTATAAATGGAATACAGATTAAATGAGTTTCCATATGTAAAGTGTTTTGTAAATCTTAAAGCACAGTACATAAATGTGAACTAGATAGCATGAAGGCTTCATCATATTCTCAGGAGGTCAGGAGAAAGGGAAGAAGATCCCCCGATGCAGTGGGTGGGACCTCTGTGGGGAATTTTCTGTGCAACATGGACAAGAGTCTCAGAAGAGGGACTGATGTGGGTGAAATCAAGTAGATGAGGTTACAGATCTATTTCAGTATTACCATAATAACAGTTAACTATTATGAGGATTTTCTTTTCTTCTAAAGATTTACTTGGTTCTGGCCAAGGCAGATGGTTGAACATCAGACTAGCTAGATGCTTCCTGCAGAAAATTACATGATTGAAACATTCTCATGTACAATTTTCAGAATATTACAGTAAGTAGTTCAACCTGGGGTGAAGAAATTAAAGTTTGGAGAGTACTTATAATGATTTGTTGATAAGTTACCAGTACCTCTTCATCCTAAGTATGGGCTAAAATGCTTAATTGGTATTTCTGTGAGTCTCCCTTTGTACTTGTTGCCCCATGTCAGGTTCTGATCTTATTGCCCTGTTGCTGTGGTTGGTAAGTAAAAGTCATGAAGTAACATGAAATCTAGTAACTTCTTGTCCTGAGTTCAGCTCCATATAGCTGAGGGCCTTAGAACTCTGAGACGGGTTCTGACCCAAAGTCCTTTTATTTTGTTTCTGCTTTCCAATATTCTGCCTATTTCCTCTGAGGCTGAGCTTTTCTAGTCTTCTATGCTATGTGCTGGGTCACCAGTCTCTATGGTTTTGCTTCCTGAACAACACCCTTTGTTATTTCCAGCCTCATCCGCACTTTCCTTTTGTTTCGATTGGCCATAGTCAGTCACCCTAACACCAAAGTGACAAGCTGTCAGAGTTTGTCTGGACTCTTGAACAACACACCAGGTCTTGTTTCTAGATCCCACTTCTTTGCTGTGCCCTTAGACCCTGGTCCAAGTGACAGATGTGGGGCCTTATCTACTTGGTGCAGTTGCCCACCCTTTTCGTTAAGGTCTCCTGCATTTTTCTTCAGACATTCTTTTTTCCCAGCAAATTGGCCTACTTCACTAAACTTCCTGGTACAGGACATTCTATCTCCTTTTCTGTGCCTTTGCATAGGCTGTCCCTCCATTCCTGGAATGCATCCCTTCCTCATCTCTGACTCATAAATAGGAATCTAACTTCCTTTTCATCTTAATTTAAGCATTGCCATGCTGTTGAAGCCTTTCCTTATTTCTCATCTTACTCCTTTCTCCCTCCAGTTGTGAAACCCTGCTCCTCTCCCATTTTGTTACCTTTATTTTCTTTTATATTTTGGGTTTACTTAAATGTATACATGCTTCCTGCCCCCCTCCCCATGACTGTAAACTGACTTTTTTATTTGTATTCCTTAGTATCTAACAGTGCTTATCACATTGAAGGTGTTTAATAAATGTTTGTAGATTGGTTGACTGGTAAGAATCTTTTGAAAGTGGAATCTGTAAATCTTGATTTAAAAATTGATGTTAAATACAAAATTCTGTTCCAATTGGGGTTTTGTGACCAGTAGATAGAAAACTAGACTTTCTTTCTGATCTCCATGACCTCTAAAACCTCTGCAAAATAAGAATTATGCACAAGAAGTTGGAGTTGTATCCATGCTCTGAGACATTAAGGAGGTAACTAATACTGGAGAAAGCTAATCCCTAATGTGCTCACTCAACACCTCTTCCTTACCATCCCCAACACTCTGCCAGTGAAGCACAACCTGACCCATAGGCTTGCTTCTGGAGTTCACTTTGCAATTCCCTTGTTGCTTCTGCATTCTTTGCCAGTTAACCCCTACCCCCCTGACCCTGCAACAAGTAACAGAACTCAACTCTGCCTTTCCCCTTACCCTCTTTTGTGACAAATGTTCAAAATTATGGGAAGCTTGCTTTGCCTGGGGTAGCAACAGTGCTCAGTCAGACAACTGAGAAACAGAGGGAATGACAGGCTTTCATTGTGTGTGTGTGGAACTCTGTAGACCTAAAGGAAAGGAGTCTGGCATCCACCTAAGGCCAGTTAATTCCCCCTAGAAGACACTTTGAGGCAGAGACTGATGACAATGGAAAATGAATTCTCAGCTTGGGAGGAGACTAAGACAGCTTTGAGGTCTGTTCCCCAGGGAATCCACAATCAAAGGGAAAGAGTCAAAGTAATAGGGAAATGTAAGGGAAAAAGGATTGATGTTAACAAAGATCTCAGGAGGAAGAAAACTCAGAGACTGAGCAAAAGTACATAAACCAGCAGGAAAAATTTTAATAACAGGAAGGAATATGGCCTTGATCAGGTAAATGAGTCCATTTATAGACATTTATACATAAATATTGCAGGATAAAGGAAAATTTATCAATACTTAATGAGACAAAGTACTCTGTGGATTCCCAGGAGAGCATGGAACCACCACAGGATGTTCCTGAATGATTCAAGAGAGAATTAAGAGCTATGAAAGTAGAATTTATTGCATGTGAAGCAGAAAGAATTGGAAGAATAGAAAAACTTGAAATCCTGGTAGCAAGTTTCACCAAAGAAGCAAAAGAGAGGATAATTGATTGTGAATATAAATACACAGACGTGAAGGACAATCAGGAAAAAGAGAAGCAAAAGGCAATGATGTTAAAAGGAAATGTGATCTTCATACAAGCAAAACATATCAATCTTGAAGACAGGATGCATAGTGGTAATTTAAGGATTGTAAGTCTCCCAGAAGAACACAAGTCAAAAAACCTAAACACTATAATGTAAGAAAACTGACTAGACCTTCTGAACACAGAAAACAAAGAAAAATCAAAAGAACCTACGACCACCTCCAGAAGGAGAAAAAACCCCTCTATACTGTAAATTCTAAGACAGTGGTTAAATAACAATTCTAATGATAAACAACACATTTCACAAGCAACTGGAAAGATCTTCAAATATGAAGGAAAAGATATCTGAATAACACAAGGCTAGTCTGTCCACACCTGAAACCACAGGAGAGAATAGAATAATATTATCTGAAGGAGAGAGATACTCAAGATGAAACATAAGGTGACAATCCCTGCAAACCTGAGCCTAATCATTAATGAAAAAAAAAAAAGATGGATGTTAAATAAAAGTGAGACAGTTGAAGCATTCCTATGACAAAAACAAAATGTAAAAAGATTATTGTTTTGCAAATACTCCAAGTAACAGAAATACAAGATAGGTAAAGAAATAACACCAACCAAGGAAGGCAACCTCTTTGC